TCTGGTGTGGTCCTGCGTTCCAGATGGGTCAAACCACAGATAGGACTCTGGTGCAGAGCTGGCAGAATTTCAACTCCTCTCCTTTCCATCCCTCTCCCCCTTTTTTTAAACATTAGAAACGACTGAGGAGATCAGCACATGCTCGAAAGGAAACTGAGTTTCTTCGTTTGAAGAGAACAAGACTTGGATTGGAAGATTTCGAATCCTTAAAAGTCATAGGCAGAGGAGCATTTGGTGAGGTAAAAACCCAAAACACACAGCTACGTATCAAATACAAAAATACCACAGAACTTCAAAGCTTCTAATACACCACACGCTCTTGATTGTTGATATAACTGAAATGCGGGGTACATAAGTCAAGCGTGACAGCCCACATCTGAACAACTCTGTCCTCCTCTCTCTCTTCCCCTCTCCACTGTCCCAGATCTCTGATTGTTCTCTGTCCTGACAGAAATGATGTTGATGCTTTAAGTATTGATCTAGAGGGCGAGTTGAAAGATAGAAGGAAATTAATAGTTGTTATTTACTGAGTGTTTCCTATAATCATGACAATAACTTGTATGATAGATGATGCAGAGGAGATATATAACGTCGCAGTGTCACACAGCCATTGAGCAGTGGTACCAGAAGTTGGGCCCAGGTATCCCTGGTCTTAAAGCTTTTGTTTTGCCCAGTACCACATTGTCTCTCCAGGAGCACACTAACAGCTTATCTCCAGCCTTTATTCTTCCTGCCAGATTGGTACAGCTCTGAAAAAATGGCCCCAGGAAACAGAATTTCTAGAAATGGGCTACATAGGTAGTGGGAGAAAGTTGAAAGCATGTGTGCCTTTGTCCCAGCTAGTCTTGCAAATGTGTCATCCTGGTCACAAGAGCAGTCTGTGGGGGAGGGTTTGAAAGGGCCCTCGAAGGTCATCCCCATTAACGGAAGACATCCAAAGTGAACAGCCTGCTGATGCAGTAGGTTCATTATCTTTGTATAAAAGGAGCAGCATATTATTAAAGACCAGTTCCTCGGGGAAGTGTGAGTGCATATTCAAAAGCGCAGGCCAAAGATTAAATTGATCCCTCCACGTTCAGAATCCCTGTTGGCCCCTTAAGAGAGGGAAAGATACAGTGCCACCTCTGAATTGCTTTCTGTTCATTGAGGAAGGGACATGGGGCTCCATCAGGAAAAACACGAAGAAAGGTGCAGGGAGAAGAAAACATCCATGTCTTGGGAGAGGAAGGGGAGGATGGGCAGGGAATTGCCACAAAGGTGTTCTTTGGGTTGTAGACCACTCATTTTCTTTTCCTCTATTTATCTATTCTCTCTAAAAAACACTGGGAGATTAGAGAAAGGAAACCCTAAAACCCTATTTCTCTAATTGTATATTTTAGGGTTTTTTCCTCCAGACATTTTTCCNTCTAGTTGTGGAGGATGTTGCTTCACTGGCCCAAGTTGGCACCATCATTGCGCTCTTCCCGGGCGAGGCAGATCAGTCGCCAGCTTCTGGACGGCCACTCACTGCGGCTGCTGGCTGCTCACGCTGGCTGCTGGCTACATACGGTAGCCCATGGCAACCCACCTGCAGTGGAGCCCAGCTCCAGGTTGAGCTGTTATTCAGCATCTTAGCTGTAGAGGGCAGTGTCACTGGCCCTCATATGTGGGATCTGAACCAGGGTCTTCTGGCGTCCCAAGCCAGCTCTTAACCAACGTGCCACTCGGCCGGCCCCTGAAACCAATTTAATTACACTTGCAATAAAGCTGTGAAAACTTGGTTTGAATTTAGATTTAAGATGTAGGCAGAAGGAGCTGTCTTTGTGACACACATTGTGTGATAGTGCATTGGACTTCTAGCCCAGTCTGGTGTGGGCATTCCAAAAATATAGTCAGAATGTTGCTGGGAAACGGGTTCTGGGTGTTGGTCGCAGGAAAGAATTCAAGGATGTACTGGGTAAGCCAAATAAGCAGTAGATTTATGAGAGAAGGATATAGTACACGCTCAAGAAGGTGAGAACGGGCAGGCTTGGAGAAGAGCAGCTGCCCTGAAGAGAAGCGGGGTTTGGGAATTTCTTATACCTAAAATGAAAGGGTGGACTGTTCAGGACCTGAGGGTGGTATTGTAGGTGTTCCTTGCTGACCATTCCTTCTCATGGGGAGGGGGCATTTTGGTCCTTATTTGGCTCTTGGAACTGTTATGGTGACACTGGGGGTGGAGGTTTTTTTCCTGGCTGCCAGGCTAACAGCATAATCCATTATAATCAGCTAAAGTTCACCTGAAGTGGCAAGATGGCAACCTGGATCCCCTCTGGGCCACTGAAATCCAGCTCTGACTGGATTGTAGTGGACTTTTTCCTTAGTTGCTGACCATACCTCCTCCTTTTTCTCCTCACTCTCTCCTCCCCCTGCCCCATTCTTCCTGCCT